TATTATAAATTAATTTTATATGTTTTAATTAATTACCTTAATTTTAAATAAATTAATTCAATTTTTATTTTAGAAAAATGTAATTAAATTATTCATTTTTGTATAAATATTATACAGTAATAACAAAAAAATAATTAATATAAATATTGGAAATCGTATTTTGTAATCCCTTTGAAAATTTATATAATTAAAATTTTGTTGTTAACAACAGATTATTTTTATAATATTGTATTAATAAAAAAAATGACAAAGTTTTAATAATTAGGAAGATGCATAGGTACAAAGAAGAAGAAAAATAACAAGTTAATTTATTTTAAAAACAAAGCTAAAAATACTTAAAATAATTCATTTTAATATAAATAAGATTAAAGTTTTATTATTTAATATCATTTTAAGCAATGTTCTTTTACACAGATTGAAATTTTTATAAAGTACGGTATTCATGTGTCTAATTTGATATTGATTGATCTTAATTTCATTTTTATACAGTAATATATACATTATATAATATATAATATATTTATTTGTATGAATAGAATATTTTGTGTAGGAAGTAATGTTATATTAAATATTCAGAATAAATTAAAAGATATACAATAATTTAGAACATGGATTGAATTGACAAATAGACTAATACGTTTCTTATACATCTTGATTACGAATTGATTAATTTATTAAAAATTTCGTGAAATCGACACTATATATACTAACTAAATACTGAAAAATACCATTTAAATACTTTAAACGAACTATTATTTATGACATCATTACAATGCCAGTCTGCAATTTTTCGTCACAATGCTCTCAATTTTAGTAGTGTCTTGCGCCTGTACATCATACTTTTCCTGTTAACAACAAAGTCGTGCCGGTTATCTGTCTTACTCCATTTAGGAGAAAAATTTTAAATTTAAATAACGTGACATTCGCTCCAAACTGGATGTTGGTATATAGTTAATTGGAGTTTTCTGCTCCTAAGCTTTTCACATCTGGTCTCGACTTTCATCTATCTAACTCTGTTCATGAGATTAAGGAAGGACAATCAGACGGAAACCAATGGGAATTTATAGGTCTACAATTTTTTCAAATTGCACCCAATTATTTAAGAATTGTGATTCTTTTCCTCTAATTTGTAACAGTTTTAAGAGTTTATTTCGTTATGTACTTTTAACTTTACATAAACATTTTTATATTATTTATTATAGATCTATATTCAGTGTCGTGATTACTAATCTCTTAAACTGCATTCACACAGGATCTTCTTACGTTACGTTACCTTACGTATGACCAATCAAAGGAGGCATTATAAATAATTTATTGATTAACCAGACGTAACGTAACGTAAGAAGAGCCTATCTGAATGCAACCTTATTGTCTACAGATCCTCTGTTATGCGTCATTTTCTTCCAGTGTAACTTGTACCATACTTATAATAATTTCAGTGTTACGTTGTAACATTATACATTTATCAGTGTTTGTTACAAC